AGGATAACCCGGTCGGATAACAAAGTTAAACCCAGTTCCAAGAGAGAAGCTGGGGGTGGATAATCCAATGTATCGGGAAGTTCCCGAAAGAATACCACATGGGTATTCTTAGGGATAACACAATCATTGTAGAATTGATGAATAAGAAATTCACATTCGAACTCTGAAGGTCAGAATGTCTCTTCTTCTTCTTATCAAAATTCTCTAACTCTTATGAGTTATTTTCGTGAGATGAGATCCAATCCTCTGATAGGTTAATCTTTCCTCACCAAACCATCCGCTGATCAAATTAAACGACAGGGGATCCACCAACGTTTCCATTTGCCCGTCGTTGGCATTTCTCAGACTTAACGTGCTAAGTCCTAAACAAAGTCTCCCTTTGAATGATAATACGAGTTGGCACTTTCTTTGCCTACCCGTATTCCACTTTCTTTGCTTTCTGGTCAAACCTATAAAAGTTAGGGCCAAAGCCGAAATCCCCTCTCGATTCCTCCAATGAACGAGAGGTCCACTTTCAAAATCGAGTGATCAAACCTTCCTACAGTTAGGGTCATCTCAAACTCCTGCTTGGTCAAACCTTCCTACAGTTAGGACCAAAACCAAAATCCCCTCTCGATTCCTCCAATGAACGAGAGGTCCACTTTCAAATCGAGTGATCAAACCTTCCGACAGTTAGGGTCATCTCAAACTCCTGCTTGGTCAAACCTTCCTACAGTTAGGACCAAAACCAAAATCCCCTCTCGATTCCTCCAATGAACGAGAGGTCCACTTTCAAATCGAGTGATCAAACCTTCCTACAGTTAGGGTCATCTCAAATTCCTGCTTGGTCAAACATTCCTACAGTTAGGACCAAAACCAAAATCCCCTCTCGATTCCTCCAATGAACGAGAGGTCCACTTTCAAATCGAGTGATCAAACCTTCCTACAGTTAGGGTCATCTCAAACTCCTGCTTGGTCAAACCTTCCTAAAGTTAGGACCAAAACCACAATTCACTCTCGATAAATGAGGAATTCACCTTTAATTCGGTAATCCAACCTTCCGACAGTTAGGATTATCCGAATTTGTCCGATTCTCGGAGTGGAGATCCCACTTCTAGTTTCTTTTGCGCTAGAAATAGAATATAAAATTCTTCCTTTCCAGAATCAAGGAATAGAATATAAAATTCTTCCTTCCTTGTATTCGGGTTCGCCTTCACCCTAAAAGAAGACCGGGAAATAGAATATAAAATTCTTCCTTTCCCAAAACAACCTTTTTCAAGAATTTATCAATCTAGGATTCATCCTAGGAAGTTTATCCCGAATCCTAAGCAGGGATAAGTCTGCGCCTAACACGCGCTGCCGGTTTAGTCTTTTTCCGCACAAAAAGACACCAGAGTCTGATTCTGGGGTATTTTATCCTGAAACCTATAGAATATAAAATTCTTCCTCTTCAGCACCGGGAGATAGAATATAAAATTCTTCCTCTCCCGTTTCTCAGTCTGTCTTTGCTTTTAGAAAAGACACAATTCTCAACTTCCAATCCGGGCACTTGGTGCACGGGGAATTTTATCTCGACTCCTAAATAGAGATAAGCCTACGCCTAACACGCGTTGCCGGTTTAGTCTTTTACCGATTGAAGAAGACACCAGAATTCCAGTCTGGGGAATTTCACCCCGAAGCCTAAGAAGGGATGAGTCAACGCCTAACACGCGTTGCCGGTTTAGTCTTTTACCGATTGAAGAAGACACCAGAATTCCAGTCTGGGGAATTTCATCCCGAAGCCTAAGAAGGGATGAGTCAGCGCCTAACACGCGTTGCCGGTTTAGTCTTTTACCGATTGAAGAAGACACCAGAATTCCAGTCTGGGGAATTTCATCCCGAAGCCTAAGAAGGGATGAGTCAGCGCCTAACACGCGTTACCGGTTTAGTCTTTTACCGATTGAAGAAGACACCAGAATTCCAGTCTGGGGAATTTCATCCCGAAGCCTAAGAAGGGATGAGTCAGCGCCTAACACGCGTTGCCGGTTAGTCTTTGACCGTAAAAAGGACAAAAGACCACGTATTCAACATTATGGCAGGTTGTTGTTAACACCATAATCCGTGCCTCACACGCACGGGGAATTTTATCTCAACTCCTAAATAGAGATAAGTCTACGCCTAACACGCGTT